TGCTGGCCTTACTCCCAGAGTCATGGTCCTCTCTCATCATCAACCTCAATCGTGACTTGCCCCACCTCTCGCTCGAAGACGTGAAGCGAGCGATCCTTCAAGAGGATTTCCGTCGCCGTGAGTTGGCGAGTGCGGATGGCGCCGGGGCAGCAAGCATCGGCCGTGAATATGGCCGTGGAAAGGGCAGAGGACGAGGAGGAGGAAGGTTTGGAGGCAGCAACTTCAACGGAGGCCGCGGGAGTAGCGGATACGGCAATGACAACAAGAACAACGGACGCGGTCGCGGACGGTTCGACGGCGAGTGTCATTTTTGCCACAAGAGCGGACACATGTGGCGCGATTGCTACAAACCCCCTGATGGATGGACTCCTGCTCAAGGCCAAGAGGGTAGAGGAGCAGGAGGAGGGTGAGGAAGAGGCCGTGGAGGCCGTGGCGGTCGCGGAGGTGGTGCTGCAAGTATGAAGAGTGCCGGCAACGAGAGCGAGTCGAGGGACGATCGCTTCCCGGGTCAATTCTTCTTCGTGTCCACGCAAGCACCGGCTGGTCCAGAGAATGATGAAAGCTTTGAGGAGCCAGCAGCTGTGGGGAAGGTCACCCTACACTCCCTGGACTATTGGGTGATCGATAGCGGCGCTACCTATAGCATGACACCTTGTGCGGACTTGCTCACCGAACTTGAGCCGTCACCGGTGAAGCATGTGACATCGGCTTTGGGGCAGCGAGCAGAGGTGAAAGGCATGGGCAAGGCCATGTTCAAGGGTGCTGATGGGAAGATGGTGGGCCTCAAGAACGTGCTTTGGGTGCCCAACCTTGCTGCCAACCTGATTTCCGTGCGGCGGTTGCAAAAGGCCGGCATGGACACGAGCTCGAAGGGAGCTAAGACCTACACCGCGAGGCTTGGCGAGCGGATTCTTTGGGACCTTCACGAGGATAGGGATGTCTACAACGAGATGTGGCAAATCTCTGTGGTCCCCATGCCTAAGGAGAGGCAAGTGGCAGCAAGCATCAGCACCAAGGGTGAAGTGGTTGGTAGCGGCGATGGCGCGAACGGTCGCGCTAAGGAGATAAAGTCCAAGAAGTGCAATCTTGGAGGGACCAGCAAGCTCGGTGAACATGAGGAGAGTGGTGCAGCAGCTCAGAAGCAGCACAAGGGTGAGGATAACCCCAAGGCAGCAGCGGAGGAGGAGTACGGAGAGAACATGTGGGGCACTATTGCGAGTGCGGCATTCTCCAATCCGACTTCGGCTACGGGGGAGTGTGATTGGCTCACCTTGCATCGGCGAATGGGGCATGTGGCCCTGCCCATCTTGCAGCAGCTATTGAAGAATGAGATGGTTGCTGGCATACGTGTGAAGGGGGAGCCCGATGAGGTACTTGGCTGCCCGACGTGCATGCAAGCCAAGTTCACCCGTTTCCCGTTCTCTAGTTCGGAGGCAACGGCTAAGGCACCACTTGATGAGGTGGTGATGGACGTGGTGGGCCCCCTGAAGCTTGGAGCTGCTGGAGCTGAGTACTTTCTCACCATTGTGGACGTCTACACTCGCATGACTTGGGTGTACGTGCTGTCCAAGAAGAGTGACGTGGCTGAAACGGTGAAGACCGATTGGTTGCCGATGGTGGAGCGGCAACAAGACCGGCTAGTGAAGGCAATCCGCACCGATCGAGGGGGAGAGTTCTTGAGCAAGGATTTTGGATTGTGGCTGAAGAAGAATGGCATAAGGCAGTCCCTTACCATGCCATACTCCCCTGCAATGAACGGCATCGCCGAGCGAGCGAACCGGACAATCACGGAGACGGCGCGCGGGTTGCTCATTGAAGCCGGGCTACCCGAATATTTCTGGCCTGATGCGGTGCGGAGTGCATGTGTGGCCAAGAACAGAGCTTTGACTCATGTGGGAGCAGACAAATGGGTGCCCTATGTGGAGTGGATTGGAAGGAAGCCAAAGGTGGATATGCTTCGGGTGTTCGGGTGCATGTGCATGGCGCTCGTGCCTAAGCATCTTCGGCACAACAAGCTCGGTGCCAAGGCGATATGGGCTGTGCACTTGGGCATGGCTCAAAACAGCAAGGGGTGGCTTCTTTGGGACCCATTCACCAAGAAATTCTTGGTGAGCAGGGACTGCAAATTCATGGAGAATCTGATGTACAAGGATTGGAAGGCGGAGAATGAGGCGAAGATAGGCGTGCGGTTGGGGGACGTGAAGAGTTCCGGTTTGGAGCATGTGGAGCTGCCCTTGGAGCTGAGCAGCGGCAGCACCACCACAAGGCAATCTTCCCTTGTGAATGGGGGAGAGGAGGCCAAGGATGCAGAGGAAGAAGAGGAGGAGGTTCAGCAAGTGAGCGAGCGTGCACCGACACTTCCTTCTCGCACTACGAGTGCTCCACGGATCCGAGTCACCCCGCAGCAATGCCAAGGCCTTCATGTCCCTGCAGCTGAGGAAGAAGGAAGGGGCAAAAGGAGAATCCAAGCCCCAAATAGGCTGACCTATGAGGCACTGGGAAAGCCAGCCAAGTCAGCCTTGGCCGGAGCGGCACTTATAGTTGGAGAAGACGAGGAGAGTGACTACGAGGAGTGTGCCTTCGCGTTCTTCTCTCCGGTGGAGATGCCGGGGGAACCAGCAACTCTCAAGGAGGCCTTGGAGAGTAGTGATGCTGAGGAGTGGAAGAAGGCAATGGAGAGTGAGCTGAAGAGCATTGAGGAGAACGGCACATGGGAATTGGTGGAGCTACCGGAGGGGCGTAAGGCGATTACGTCCAAGTGGCTCTTCAAGATCAAGTCCGACGCCGACGGCAAGATCGAGCGCTACAAGTCTAGGCTTGTGGCGAAGGGGTACCAGCAGAAGGAGAAGGTGGACTATAAGGAGTTGTTTGCTCCTGTGGTGAAGCCGAAGACGCTGCGAACCCTACTCGCGGGAGCTGCCATCAAAGGATGGGTGGTGAAACAAATGGATGTCACAACGGCATTCCTCAATGGCGTCCTTGAGGAAGAGATTTTCATGGCGCAGCCAGAGGGGTTTGATGATGGTAGTGGCAGAGTTTTGAGGCTGAAGAAGGCCCTTTATGGACTGAAGCAGGCCCCTAGGCAGTGGTACTTGAAGCTGCGAGGAGTTTTGGAGGAGATCGGCTTCACTCCCTCAACGGCCGATCACTCATTGTTCATGCTTGGCGAGGGGGAGCAGAGGAGCTTCATGGTGGTGTACGTGGATGACATCCTCATCTTTTCACCGTCATCTGACCTTGTGAAGGAGGTGATGCTGAAGCTTCAGGACAAGTTTAAGTGTAAGGCCCTTGGTGACGTCAACTTATACCTTGGGCTTCACATTGAACGTGATGTGGAGAAGCGGTGCATGCGGGTGCATCAACGGAAGTACCTGGAGGCATTGGCTGCCAACTTTGGGCAGAGTGAAGGCCATGTGGCTACACCCTTTCCCTCTGGTTTCAAGTGTGTGAAGGGACCAGAGGAGGAGAGCGTTGGTGAAGAGGAGAGGCGCCGTTTTCACTCGTTGGTGGGCAGCCTCATGTACGCGGCGGTAAACACCCGACCGGACGTCGCGTTTGCTACCGGACAGTTGGCTAGGGTTGTTCAATGCCCTAATGAGGAGCAGGTAGCAGCTGGAATGAGAGTGGCCAAGTATCTTGGCCAAACACCGACCGTTGGGCTGCAATATTCGGCGGCGGCGCAAAGGCGCCAAAAGGGCGCGGATGGTGTTGAACCCGGGCGTTTGTTCCTCACCGCATTCTCGGATGCTTCTTTTGCATCAGAACCAGAGGACATGACAAGTGTTGGAGGGTTCATTTGCTGTGTTGGTGGAGGCCCAACTGCTTGGGAGAGCAAGAAGCAGGTGGATCAAGCATTGAGCTCGGTGGAGTCCGAGTATATGGCACTCTTCCGTGCCGTACGAGAGATTGTGTGGCAGCGGCGTTTGTTGGCTGAATTGGGGGAGGAGCAGCAAGGACCTACCCCACTCTACTGTGACAGCCAGGGTGCCATTGCTCTTGCTAAGAACCCTGTGTTGCATGGCCTCACCAAGCACATGAGGGTGAAGTGGCATTGGACGAGGAGCATGGTGGCCGCGGGTGAAGTTGAGTTGCACTATGTGAAGACGACAAGGCAGCCAGCTGACATGATGACCAAGAGGCTGGTGGAGCAGCAGCATTGGAAGTGTTGCAAGCTGGCTGGGATGGCTCTGAACTGAGAGAGCAAGATCCTAAGGCCAACAATCCGAGGGGGAGTTTGTTGGTGCAACCCTACGGTTTGCATTCGGCTTGTTGTCCGTGTGCGTGCATGCGTGTGTGCATGGAATGGTATGAGGGCATGAAATAATATATATTTCATGTTTACAATAGTGTGTGTATGATGAAGCATGATTTTGAATGTGTGCGTCGAGTCAATAGCGAGTTATCGCTAGTCGCGTGTCACGTCGTCGTTTGCGTGTCGTGTGCGGTTTTCTATTTTGTCGTGTGTGGAACGTTCGGCGTGTCGCAGGTGTGCGCAGCAGAATTCCAAGAACTCAAGGAAGAATTTACCTTGAAGAACCAGAGCCTTGGTTTCAAGATTCAAGTTATTTCGAAGCTCTCCAAAAGGGTAAACTTTAAGATAGTGAGAATAGTTGCATTACTTTGTGTAGTGTAACATTTCTCTTGGTGTAGGCCCTTGTGGAGGGTAGTTTCGAGACCCTTCGTGGTTGGGGACAGTGTGGCACTGTTCCACATCACTGTACCTCGGCTCTTGGGGTTTGTAGGAGCTGGGAGTCATTCCCAACTCGTAACTCTTCCTATCTTGTGTTCTAAGACTATAGTGGCTGCCATAGTACCGTTCGTTCAAACCGACGCTGTGTCGTCAATTCTTTATGAAATCGTGCAATCTAAATTGCTTATTGTAGGCGACGTCAAGACGCTCCAGATCCAATTTGAATCAAGTCATTTGCAGCTGTGAGCAGAACGCTATCAACGTTTGAAGCCGCTGTGCAGAAATCCGTCTGTGCACTCTATCTTTCGTTTTAGGCACATTCAAGGCTATTGTGACTATAACAGTAACGAGCCTTGAAGACAGGCGGAGAACCTGGCGGCCGCTTCACCCTGAAAATCCACATGCCACTGACGATGTTCGCCCCAGGAGGGGGAACCTCGTCGACGTAAGTGCCAGTGGACTTCCAGGATGCCATCTCTGCGTCCATGGCTGACTGCCACTGAGAGGAGTACTCACCCGCGATCGCCTCAGCGTAAGAGCGCGGGGTCGGGATGTCTGGAGCATCCGGGTCTCCCTCAGGGGCAAGTAGCATGGACACGAGATGAGGCGCAGCGGCTACAAGACACTCAAGGTCCTCCTGTCTGTCCTCAAGGACGTCCGTGCCTAGAGCACACTCACCCCCGACGGACGGAGGACAGACAGACTCAGACTCAGCAACAAGACTCGCGGCGTAGTCTAGACGACAGCGAGCAGCAAAGTCAACAAGCTCGGCAACTAGGGCAGACGCAGCAGCAGACTCAAAGGAAGGGTCAGTGACAGCAGTGGCCAGGAGACGCGTGACAGTAGGACTGGCAGCACGAACCCGGTCAGACTCCGGGTCAGCAAGGTCAGGAAGAGAGGACGCAGGAGGAGACGACAGAGGGACACGCAGTGGAGCAGTGGAAGGACGCAGAGTCATATAGTGTGTGCCAGAAACAGGTGGAGGACGCTCACGCGGAGCACGGCGACCAGTGCGAGCAGCACGAACAGGCGACACAGGACGAGACTCAGGCGACACAGGACGAGACTCAGGCTCACGACGCTCTGTAAGACCGCCTGTCGGACCAGTGTAGGGAGAAGGACCAGGAAGTGGCGAGGCAGGGGGTAGCTGTGACTGCGACTGGACACGCGGAGGACACTCTAAGGAGGGAGCAGGACAAGGAGGAGGCGGCTGACCAAGAACCTGCTGGAGGAGTGGAACGAAGTACGGTCGCGGCCGTGTAGTGCCCCCAGAACCAGTAGAGACAGCACCAGAACCTCCAGCAGCAGCTCCAACTCCTGCAGCACCACCAGCAGCTCCAGAACCTCCAGTAGCACCAGCAGCTCCAGTACCCCCAGCAACACCAGCAGCACCTCCAGGACCAGTGGCTCCAGCACCTCCAGTGCCGACCCCAGGGTCAGCAGCAACACCACCTCCAGTAGGCACAGCGCCCTCAGCTCCAGCTCCAGTAGCAGTTCGGAGGCGGCGACAGTATCGAGAGTACCACTCACGCAGCTGCTGGGAAGAGAGAGCGCCCCCAGGCGCAGTACCCCCAGGCTCAGGACCTCCAGACTCAGCACCCCCAGGGACAGCACCCCCACGCTCAGCACCCGCAGTCTCTGCACCCCCAGGCTCAGCACCCGCAGTCTCTGCACCCCCAGGCTCAGCACCCGCAGTCTCCGCACCCCCAGGCTCAGCACCCGCAGTCTCCGCACCCCCAGGCTCAGCACCCCCAGTCTCAGTACCCCCAGACCCAGCACCACCAGGCTCAGCACGCTCAGGCTCAGCACGCTCAGTACCTCGCGGAGGACCAGAGTCGACAGCTACCTCGACAGGCTCGACCGGGTCTACCTGGGAAACACCTGAGGGAGCAGGACCCTGGGGAGGCAGGGGGTCTACCAAAGCAGCACCTGGCGTGAGGAAGAGCGGCGGGGGGGGGAGCGGGGCAGTGCGGTAGGGGAAGAGACGGTAGAACGGGACCGACTCGTCAAAAGTGACGTCCTGAGAGGCGAAGACCCGGTGCGAGGTGGGGTGGTAAAACTGCCAGCCAGGCGCGTCAGGGACAAAGCCAAGGAAGACACAGGGAGCAGCGCGGGCGGAGAGCTTGGCCGCGGACGTATCGCGGACAAAGGCACGAGATCCCCACACCCGGAACACAGACGCATCGCCAACCTCTCCCGTCCAACGCAGCGTCGGTGAGGTCTCCGGAACGGAGACACGGGGCCAGAGGTTGAGCTGATGCGCGGCGTAGCGGACCGCAAACGGCCACAGAAAATGGGGGGCAGCCGCATGGACCAAGGAGGTACGAGCGACTTCCATGACCAAGCCAATGCGGCGCTCAGCAACCCCATTCTGCTGAGGAGAGGCCGGAAGCGTGAACGTCTGGCGAATGCCCTCCCCCTAACAGAAGGTCTCCAAGAGACCGGAGGAAAACTCACCACCTCTGTCAGAGTGGAGTCGCAGGACGGGAAGGTCCGTGCGAAGGCGCCTCTCCAGCTGGAGACGGGTAGCGCGGATCCAAGGGATCAAAACAGCAGGGACCTCTCCCTTGGTGCGCAAGGGGAAGACCGTGGTGTAACGCGTGTAGTCGTCAACTACCAGCAGGAAGTAGCGCTCTCCTCCCTGTCCACGGACGCAGGCTGGGCCCCATACGTCCATGTGCAGGGTCTGTAGAGGGGCCTCCGTCGGGGGAAACTCAGAGGAGTGAGGGGTGGCACGCTGCCGCCCCTCGACACAGGGAAGGCAGGGAGGGGCAGGGGACGGTGGCAGGGGAGGCAGTGATCTGGGGAGACCAGAGACAAGGTAACGGGAGTGCATGCCACGAAGGCGCTGCATCGAAGGGTGCCCAAGGCGGTGGTGCCAGAGGACCGTCCGGTGCGACAGGGTGCGACACGAGCAGGGGGCGGACAACTGACCTGACGCAGACGCAGACGCCGCTACCTGAGGGGACTTAGTGGTCAGTGTGTACAAGTCTGACCCCGGCTGCCGAGTGAAGGTAGCCAGGTGTCGACCCGTGTGGGCACACGTGCAGTGTGTCACACGCTCGTAGGCAGGGGTGAACTGGTGAACACCCGCATCCTGGAGCGCGGAACCCGCCACCAAGTTCGTAGAGAACGAGGGGAGGTAAAGGCCCGACTGGGTGCCGGACGGGACAGCAGGACAAGGGAGGGCAGTGGTGGAGGTCGCAAGGACCGGACCCCCGGATGGGGTCAGCCAGGGAGACAGCAACCGGCCTAGGGAGCTGCTCTAGGGCAGTGCGGTCGCGAAAGAAACAGCGAGAAGCACCAGAGTCCAGTGTGAAGGTGTGCAGTGCCTCAGTAGACGCAGTACCTGAAAGCGCAGACTCACAAGTACCTGACGCAGCAGACACACCTGCACCTAGAGCAGCAGCCTCTTTAGGACGTGGGGCAGCAGACACACTGGCACCTAGAGCGGCAGCCTCACTGGTCGCAATGCCTGGGTCTGGTGGCACACACAAGTAACAGTCACCCTCAACACTAATAGTCAATGCATACATGGCTCCTAGGATAACATCAAAGTCAAGTGCAAAGACATCAATGTTCTTTTTAAGCAGATCAGCCCAGCGGGGCAGCTCAGAGGCCTCAGGGAACTGTGCACGCCAGGCGTCGTCGAGATGGAAGAAGCAGCGCTGTGGCGTGTGGAACCTCCCACACGTCTGACCAGCGCGGTCACCTGTGCGGATGACATACGTGCAGGTACCCCCGCCCCCAGACCCCCCATGCTGAGAGTACCACTCACGAAGCTGCTGGGACGACGGGGTCTCTCCAAGACGCTGCTGCTGGCGCTGGACACCACCCGAGCCTCCACGCTGCGCCAGTCCACCCCGACCACCACCCGAGCTGCCACCCCCACGCCCACTGCCTCCACCACCACCACCTCCACCCCGGCCTCCTCCACCACCACTGCCGCCACCACCCCCGCCGCTGCCACCCACCCCCCCAGCCCCGCCACCACCCCCACCACCGCCACCACCCCCACCGCCCCCACCGCCGCCACCTCCACCTCCACCTCCACCCCCCCCTCTAGCACCACCACCACCCTTGCCCCCCTTGCCCTTGCCGCCCTTGCGCCTCCAGCTAGGAGCAGACGCAGCCCCGACTTCCTCAGCACCAAGGAAGTCGACAGCGGCAGCAGAGGCAACCGAGGGGAGAAGGGGGGGAGGGGAACACCTGTCAAAGAAGGGTGTGCGGGGTGTCGGTAGATCTGCACTGTGGATGCCCGATTGATCCTAGGGGGGTTACAGGCGCGTTCGCCTGGGGGGTTATGGGCGCACTCACCCGCTACTTAACAAGCCCTTCTATCCCAATGGTCTAGTGACTGGGATTCTGACATGGTGTCAGTAAGGTCTTGGGTTCGAATCTCGGTGTATGCACATGTAGGCCGTTGCCGCTGTGCTCAGTCCTGGGCCTCCCAGTGTGGGGGGGTGTCAGTAGATCTGCACTGTGGATGCCCGATTGATCCTAGGGGGGTTACAGGCGCGTTCGCCTGGGGGGTTATGGGCGCACTCTGACCCGCTACTTAACAAGCCCTTTTATCCCAATGGTGTGGTTGGGATTCTGACACGGGGGTAGCCACGAGAGGCACCTATAGCAACTATGCTAGACTCAGCTGCAAGCAGATGCTTCTCGAGGAGGTCAATGGTGAGCTCGGTGGGGCAGAGGGCGAGAAAGTGGTCCCTGACTGTGCGAAGAGAGTCAGGGAGACGAGTGACTAGGTGGTAGAGAACGAGGTACATTGGGGGGGGGTTCTTGGCGAGGAACTCAGCAGGAAGGGCGGCTCGGTAGTGAGTGTCACTAGTGCGGAGGTGGGTAATGAGGTCAGCGACTGTGGGAAAGGCGGCGCGGTTGGGGAAAAGATAGGGCAGCGAGAGACGGCCTATAGTAGCAGAGGCAGGCGAGCAGTAGCGAGCGACGACTGCATCGTACAGTGCCTTAGCAGTCTTATGCTGGCCGAAGTGTGCGCGCTCATCTAACGGCAGGTGGCTGCGAATGGCTAGGCGAGCGTGGGCGTCACGAGTCTGCCACTGGGAGCGAGCTGTACTGTCAGCAGTGTCAGGAGGTGCTAGAGCGGTTCCAGACGCATGGTCATACAGCGAGACATCATCCTTAGCAGTGATCTGGAGGAAGAGGTGGAGATCGTCGAGCCAGGCATCAAACTGGAGCGGACGGCCCTCAGCATCGAAAGAGAGAACTGTGGGTGTAGCCATAGTGGCAGCAGTAGCAGTAGCAGTAAGAGCAGTAGCAGGAGGAACAGGAACAGCAATTGCTGCAGGTGGGGCGGCGCGGCTCGGTCAGGGCGGCGCGACTCGGGCGGCGCGGTTCGGGCAGGACTGCGCGGCGCGGCTCGGCAGAGAGGGTGGGCCGGCGCGCGGGTCGAGGTGGCGGCCTACGGGCTGGCTGTGGCCTACGCGTGGGCGACGACCTACGCACGGGCGGCGGCCTGCAAGGGCGAGGTGGCGGCGCGCGCCTGTTGACGGGCAGCTGGCGAGCTGCTCTAGGGGCCGCGCGAGGCCAGGGCGGGCTACGTCGACGGCGTGGGCGGCTAGGGGGGGGGTCGCGCGCACTAGAAGGAGGCCACGCGAGGGCGGCTAACGAGCTGCGTGGGGAAAAAACGAGGCCGTGCGCGGGCAAAAAACGGGCCGCGCGCGGGCTTCTAGTGGGCTACGCGACGAGACAGCGAGGCGCGCCAGGGCGCACGGACAGCGAGGCGCGGAGGGCGCTAAAGTGAGAAGGCGCTCGAGGGCGCTGGCGGAAGGACGGGCCCTTAGTAACACGTGGTCCTAGGTTCCTAACCTAGGCTCCTGATGCCATGTTAGAATGAGAAGGAGTGATTGAACTAGGAAGATTAAGAGTACAAGTAGGAAAACCTAGAATTGTGTACCCCCTAAGGCTAAACCCACTATAGCCTACAGAACTATAACATATGTAATGTTTGACAGTTAGGGTTTGTTATATCTACCCCAACCCACATCAATGAACCAACACTTTCGTTCTTGACATGGTATCACCTAGGTTAGGATCCTGTGGGATCCCGTTCCTCTCGTTCACGTCCGTAGCGCCCGAGCCTGTCCCGTACCCTAGTGCCCGTTACGCTCGTACTGTTCCCTAGCGCCTATCGCGCCTGCCGCTACGTCGCTCTCGTGCCCTAGCGCCCGCTGCGCCTGCCGTTACGTTGCTCTCGTGCCCTAGCGCCCGCTGCGCCTGCCGTTACGTCGCTCCAACTGTCCCGCCGCATCGCGCTGTCCGTTCGCGTCGCGCCGTCCGTCCCATCCCGTCCGTCCGCGTCACGCTGCCCGTCCGCGTCGCGCCTTCAGTCCCGTCCCGTCCGTCCGCGTCGCGCTGCCTGTCCGCGTCGCGCCGCCCGTCCCGTCCCGTCCGTCCGCGTCGCGCTGCCCGTCCGTCCCGTCCCGTCCGTCCGCGTCGCGCTGCCCGTCCGTCCCGTCCCGTCCGTCCGCGTCGCGCTGCCCGTCCACGTCGTGCAGTCCGTCCCGTCCCTTCGCGTCGTGTCGCGCTGCCCATCCGCCTCGCGCAGTCCGTCCCGTCCCGTCGCGTCGCGTCGCGCTGCCCGTCCTGTCCCGCTGCGTCGCGTCGCGCTACCCCTGCCCGTGGCGCTGCGCCCTCCTAGTCCAGCAGTGTTGCGCCCTACTCTGTGTCCCGTAGCGCCCTACCCTATGTCCCCTAGCGCCCTACAGAGTCGCTCTCAGTGATTAGGGTTTCAGCAGCAGCACTTCCCACCTCTTTGCTTTTGCTATGGCGACCCCTAGGGTTCTTCGTTTTGACGCTAACGGTAGACCGCTCGAGTTTCCGGTCTAGCTCCTACGCGCACGTCGCCTTTTAGAGAGTCAGGTCCAAGCGAGCGAGTCCCTCTGGGCGCACGCTACTGGTGACCTTCCTGCGCCCCACGACCCTACGCCTTTAGGCCCTGCCCCTGACGACGCCGCCAGAGACCGCTTTACCCGCCAGCGTGCTGACCTGACGGCGTGGAAGTCGCGTGACGCTGCGGCCTGCATCGCTCTTAGCCGCCTCCTCCCTGAGTCTGAGGAGGCCCACTTCACTCAGGCTCGCACTGCTATCAAGGCCCGCTACGCTACTCCCACCACTGTCTCCCTTGGCCGCCTCTTCCTACCGTTCTTGTTCCCTGACCTCGCCTCGTTTGAGCGCTCTGCTGACTTGATTGCTCACCTCCGCTCGCTCGATTCTAGCTACCGCACTACTTGCACTGACGCACAGCTTGCACTGCTTCCCCCTCCTATGGCGATTACTATCTACTTCATTGCCACTAGCCTCCCTGGCCGCCTTGCCTCGATTCGTGACACGCTTCTTCTGAAGCACCTTAGTGAGCTCACTATCGAGGTCCTTGATTCTGCGCTCAAGGACGTCGAGAGCAACCTCCGCTCAGTAGCCTCCGCCTCTGGTGCTGTGCCCCCTCCACTGTTTCACGGGTGCACTGTCCCTCAGCTGCCCACTTTTACTGCCTCGCTTGCCACTGCGACTACTGACGTGACCGCAGCTGCTGTTACGACTACGTCGCGGTCTCGAGGTAGGGGTGGCAGGAGGGGCGGTCAGGGTTCAGGCGGCGGCGGCGGTGGCGGCGTTGGCGGCGGAGGTGGTGGGGGTGGCGTGCCGACCGGTGGCGGCGGGAGCGCAGGGCCTGGAGAGGCGTCTCGTGCAGCGGCCAGTGACTCCCCTACTGCAGCTGGTGGAGGCGACATCCGGACTCGTCAGCCTCCTCCTGGTCTGCCGGCTGCGGTGGGTGGAGCAGCGGCGTGGTACCTGGCCCAGCGGCAGCAGCAGGTGCAGGAGCAGCAGCCCCTCCCCTTGCAGCAGCCCCCGCAGCAGCAGCGGCAGTAGCAGGTTTCGGGGCTGGGACAGCGACCGCCCCAGCGAGGTGTTGTTCACCCTTTGTGCACCTATCAGGTTCTGACAGGTGCTCGCCGAGGCCAGCCTTGTGGCCGCACCCACCCTCCTGGTCAGTGATTTGCTCACTTCACTGACACGGTTCGCTTGGCCTTCGGCGTTGGCGGCCCTGCCCCTGACTGGTTACCTCTTGTTCAGACGTACGGCTCCGCTCTTTGGGGCATGTCTGCTTCTCAGTTGCTTGATCTCTTAGGAACTCCTCATGCTATGTATGTTGTTGTTCACTCTAGTGCTTCTGACTCTGTTTTCTCGACTGTTGTTAGCTTAGGTGCTAGTCTTGCTGAGTTGCCTGTTGCTAGTGTAGGCACTTGTGTAGACACTAGTCCAGGCGCTACTTCGGAGGACGCTTCGCTGTCTTTCACTCTGGACTCTGGGGCTTCGCACTGCTTCTTCCGCGACCACACGACACTTACTCCACTTCCTGCGCCAGTCTCTGTGGCCCTGGCTGATCCCACCTCGGGACCAGTCACTGCTTGCTACACTACTACTCTTCCTTGCCCTGCTGTTCCCTTTGGGTCTCTGACTGGCTTCCACATCCCCTCGTTCTCAAGGAACTTGGTGGGCGTGAGGCCTCTTGTGAGTCAGCATGTGGGTGTGTGGATTGAGCCCTCTGGTGAGACGGCGGTTTGTGTTGACGGCGACACTTACTCGCCTCTTGCCACCTTTACTGCCGAGCCGGGCTCTGGTCTCTACACACTTCACACTGGCCCTGGTGGGCAGCAGCAGCAGCAGCAGCAGCAGCAGCAGCAGCAGCAGCAGCGGCAGCAGCAGCAGCAGCAGCAGCAGCAGCAGCAGCGGCGGCAGCAGCAGCAGCAGTGGTAGCAGCAGCGACTCCTGCCCCCGGCCCCGGTTACTTCCCCCAGTCTGGTCCCTGCGTCTCACCAGGTTGCTGCGTCCCCCCAGGTAGCTGTGTCTGGTTAGGTTCCCGTGTTTGGTCCAGTTGCTGCGTCGTGCTCCTGCCGGTCGCTTGCACACCCCACCGTTCTGTGGCATCACCGGACGGGGCACCCGTCCCTCCCTCGTGTGCGCGCTATGTCTCGTCAGCGTCTTGTCTTAGGCCTCCCGCGTGTCTTGCCGTCGCTGCCGCCTTCACTTGCACCGCCGTGCGGTCCCTGCGTCGAGGGTCGGCTACGCGCCACCCCTCACTCCTCCTCCCTTCGTTCGGCCACCGAGCCTTTTGAGACGCTCCGCTTGGACGTCTGGGGCCCCGCCCCTCGCCTTGGCCCTGAGCGCGAGCGTTTCTTTTTTGTGGTCGTTGACGGCTACTCCCGCTACGCCACAGTGTTCCCCCTGGCGAAGAAGTCTGAGGTGACTTCTACGCTGATCAGGTGGTTGCTTACCACTGAGGGCACTCGTGGTCGTCGTGTCAGCTGTCTTCACTCTGACCGTGGGGGTGAGTTTCGCTCCGGCATTCTT